GTTTACAAGGTTTAACCACTGGATGAATGGCATGGGACCGACTAATCAGAATGGATGACAGTCTGGGCACTGAAGCAGGATCACGGAGTCCCTCTGCTTACTAGGCCTTCAACTTTTAGTTTTTTGGATCATGGGGAGTCCAGGGAGTCCTGGGAGAGGGCCAGGGAGCCTGAAGCTGTAGCAGGGCTCAGGGCTGTGGCTTTTTACCAAATGGCACAGAAGTACACTACATTTGAACCCCCACATGGCTGAACCCTGCACAGTGTGTAGTGTGTATAGCATGATTTTCCTGCACAGTGTATATAGTGTGAGAGGGCAAGTTACTTGAGGAGGTGGGGAGAACTTCTAGGAAAGTGTATAGTCACAATCTTTTGAGGTTTCAGTATTTTCTGACAGATCTTCCTCTGAGCAGAGACCTGGTTATTCCCCTGCTCTTGTACATTCTTACTGCCAAGGCCGCGTTCCCATGTGGACTCCCCCATCCCATCTCCATCATGGTTTCAACCTGGTTCAACTTCTCATGACCTTTTTACTTTTCTGAAAGAAGTTCCTAATCACAGCTTGCCCTTTGGTATGGGGTCACGGAGACAGCACTAAATGAGCTTTAGGACACGGGAGGTGTCTTCAAGGCCTGTGATGCCTCATTAGACACAGTACGGAAGAGAGTTAGGCCTGAGGACTTACCAAAGAACGTCTGTCTCCTGGAGGCCATCTGAATGAAGCCGGCTGGCGGCAGGCCCAGCACCTTCAGTAAGTACAATTTAGTTGGCTCACTCGTGGGGTCACACATTCAAAGACTGTTAGAGCTACAGGGCACTTTGGTCACACTTTGCCTACTACAGATAAGGCCCCGGAGATATTAAGTGACAACATCAAGTTAGTGGCAGAGCAGACCGGGAGCCTGGGTCTTTCAACTCCTAACCCAGGGCAGTTTCGATTTCCTAAGAATTGACGCTGGCCGTATTATTCCAAACAGGCATTAGCACCCACTAGGGGTAGACCACCCTTGAGAGCAGCCAGACATCATTGTCAGAGCACATAAACTAGTGTACGTGCCACCACGTCTGAACTAAGGAATGATATATCCCAGCGTGGAGCTCTGGGAAGGGAGGAGACCAAAAGGAGATGAAAATCATCTGATGGGGATCAGACCATTATAAGACAAAATACCTTCTGGAAAAGAAAAATGGAGCACAAACTTGTTCACCATCCCCTACTAAAACTTACAGGGGTGCACAGCGGTAGAGAAATAACAGCCTGGGTCATTTACCCCAGCTACTGGGCTCCCAGCCAGAGTCCAGGTGTGATCTGCCCTCCTGTTCCTCAGCCCCACTGACACTGAGGTCAAGAGGAAGCTGAGTTGGTTCTGGGGCAGTAGGAAATGAATCCCACCCCTAGGCCCCCTTCTCCTTAATATTGAAAGCAGGAAAGGTTCAGAAATGCTTCGTAAAATCATCCATTGTCAACCCTAGAAGCCATCTACTCCGATCCCCTCGTTTTACAGTCTAGAGCGGGTAACTGACTTGCCCGGAAGAGCCAGGGCTGGACCCCAGGTTTGCCGCTCCCGGGCCAGTGTTCATTCCACCATAGGTACTATTTATGACTATTTTTGCCTAAATTATCTTAACATTTAATCATTTGTTTCAGCCATGAAGTGAAATTATCTATATTTAATAATTCTCAGGGTATGTATGTCTCACTATCTGTAACTTTGAGACAATCTAGAAGGTAAAAATTCGGCATACACACACACATAGATCTTTTTTTCACTGGGAAAATCCTAAAATGTGAAATTTCCAACTTTTTAGGGTTATTTTCCCCTGTTTTGTCTAATTTGGCTCCATAATAAGATTCCTTTAAGTGAAAGAATAATAATATAATGAACACTCCCATGCTGCATCTTGGTAAAGCCTTGTTATCGGGAGATGGAGTTCCCAGAAACATAACATAGTAACTGATTAGTGACTGAATAATACATATTTTTTATAAGTCAGATAATTTCCAATTCTTTGTTTTCAACAACATTGTAATACGGTTGTCAGCTGATAGGCTTGGAAAAATAATTTTTGATTACAGATCTCCATTTGATTCTTACATAGAACTCAGAAGGAATCATCAAATTAACGACATCACTAGAACAAGGTTCCTTCCTGAGCTCACATCTCCATTCCAGCCGACTGGAACAGCATTGATCCTGAGCCTGTGCGTTCTAGCAGGAAGTAATATTCACCCACAAGTACACGCAGTGATTGGGAAAAGGGAAAACTCAGCTCTCTTCATTTTCCAAGAGCCGTATGCCCCATAAAACTTCACATTTTGTTCTTGATAATTAATTATCAAAATGTGTGCACTAGTTATATTTTAATGATAACTCATCAGGAAAAATGTTTTTACGCATAGAGCTTATTTTAACAGCCCCTCCCCTCACCTCCATGATGCAGGCCAGCTGCTCCACCTCGTTCTCCCCAGGGAACAGAGGGCAGCCCATGTACAACTCCGCCATGATGCAGCCCAGGCTCCACATGTCGATCGCCATGTTGTAGGGGTGGCCCAGGATCACCTCTGGGGATCGGTAGAACCGGCTTTGGATGTAGGTGTATACTGCGGGGCAAAGGGAGAGACATTCACGTGGGAAAACCTCCTCCTCCTCTCCAGAACACTCTTCTCCGGGGTACCTCTGCAGTTGATGGTGGCCAATAATTTAGACTGCCCCCGCCCCTAACACTATGCGCTTTGCAAGGAGAGGGAAGTGCCCCTGGCCAGCACTTACGAGTTACATTACCTATCATTACAAATCCTCACAGCAAGCTGATTGTAATGGAGGTATGATTGTGCCACTTTATTGATAAGGGATTCCAAACCAGGTATTGTTCTAGGGAAGTGAATTTAAGTCAGCCAAATTTAAAACAAATAAGTTTTCAAACCGTCAGATTAATTTGGGGCAGACGTCTGAGAGTACTGAGATTTGGCAAGGGAGGAGGCATATAGGAATTGGAAAGGAAGCATGCAAAATTAAAAATTAAA